TACATCTTGGTTGTTTGGCTATGGTCACTAATTCTCTGTTGTTCCACTCTATTCGAAATAGAATACGTTTCATCTTATCCACCAACTCGACCCTGCAGATGGCTGTTGCTTTGGGGAAAACAACGCGCATTAGTGGGGATAATTCAAGTCCTCTTCAAAATGGTTCTTCCAAGTTTGCTTATGCTGGTTTTGTTCATTCACATGGTGTACAAGACCAGCAAATCTGATGTAGCCTCAGCAGAAAGCAGGGCGAAACTGCGCGGGAAAATGACGCGAATGATCGGCTTCGCTTGTTTTATGCTGATCATTTGTTTTGCGCCCAGTCAGACAAACTTCGCGTTGGCCATGGCGGGAATAACGCGTCTGGATTCCAAACTACACCACGTCCTGTCCCTCCTGGTTTTTATCAACAGCTGCTTGAATCCGTTCATATATGGGATGAGTAACCAGAATTATCGCCGTGGCTACCAAAAGATCTTTGGTTCTCTCATGTGTTGCCGAAAATTGAATAGCAGCGGTAACATGATTACCCCAGGCTCGTGTAAAAGTGGAAGTACCGAGCATGAAAACGCGCATGAAAATGGCGGAGAAAGCTGCTTTTACTTGTCTGAGAGGGACACTTAATCGGCGGAAGCAGATAGTTGGTACTCTTAAACTCGGGAATGATAATAATAATCATAATAATAATAATAATAATAATAATAATAATAATAACCATAATAGTAAAGGCGAAAAAATTTTATTGACAACAATGCTAACTATTAAAATCCTATTTACAATTAATTCGCTTGAAAAAAGAAAAAACTATTCATTCAAAACACTATTTACAATTCCTGTCGATTTAAAAAGCACGTAATTTAGCTTAAAAAGAGTTAGTTTAACAATAATAATAATAGTAATAACAATAATAATAATAACAATAACAATAATATAAATAATAAACTTCATGGGCAGTTTAGGAGGAACACAGCAGAAGAAAGCGATCAAAAGACGTGGGAGTCGCTGAAAAAGGACAAACTAAAGAAGGAAAAGGAGGGTATGATTATGGCAGCCTAAGACTAAGCATTAAGAACTTTAGTACCAAAAGGACATTTGGCAAACAAAATGTGTCTGCAAAGCGTATGATGTGCGCGCGGAGAAACTGATAAGACAGTTATCCATATAAAATCGATATTGGATCGGAGGCACGACAAGATGGCGCAGGCGGGTCAGTCGGAGCTATGTGGAGAGCTGGGTTATGACAGGCCTAGGGATGAAAAATATTACAACTCCATGAGCCAACATCCACTACCAACAAGCTGCAGTGGGACTTCAAAATACACACAACACAACAAGACTGACATTGTGGTATTGGATAAGATTGAACAGAAGTGCCTGATTATTGATATTACTTGTCCATTTTACATCCTAGGGAAAGACAGAGAGAGAGAATATTTAGAACTACCAAGACCTAAAGCAGGAGTTGAAACGGATATGGAAATTGCGCAGCCGGTAACTGTGGTTCCAGTCATAACTGGTGCATTATGAACTGTCTCGAAAGACATAGAAAAGTGTTTCGCAGAGACTGGTGTCACATGTCGTTTAGAATCATTGCAGACAGCATGCTTACTGGGTAGAGCCAGAATCCTTCGCAAAATTTTGGACACATAAGGTCACGGGCGGTGACTTGTTGTTTAAGGAAGACTCCAGCAAAACATTCAGAAGCTGTGTTTAATGAGGATAATAAAAAAAGTAATAATAATAATAATAATAATAATAATAATAATAACAATAATAATAGCAATAGTAATAATAATAATAATAATAATAATAATAATAATAATAATAATGATAGAAAACATCAAGAAAGTATCAGAAAGAGCTACTGTGACAGAGATCCAAAAGATCTGCATGCTGGGATCTGCACGAATCCTCAAGAAGGTGCTTAGTGTATGAACAGAACGATGACTTGAGGGACTGACGCTCCAGGTGCTTGCTTTGAGCCCGGCTGAAAAAGAACACCAGCAAAGACTGTGACATAAGAGACAATAATAATAATAAACGTCTAAGAAAAGAAGGACATCACCATTCTCTATGACATGCCTATTCATACGGATAGAGAAATTTCTGCAAACCACCCTGACATTGACCACGACCTGGATCGACTAAAAGCCTTTGATGGTGTGCACCACACCCGGATCGTCAAGAACCTCAAACTCGCCCCACTATCACCCGAGTCATACGGGAAAACATGAAGTGGTGGAAGACGATCCTCCACCTAAACCATGATAAGGGCATTGTGACATTCAGACCTATCGAAATCAAAAGTGGCGTCTATCAGGGATACTCTCTGTCACCTCTAGTATTTTGTCTTGTTCTTGCTCCTCTAAGTTCCCTCCGGAACAAGAGTGGGTAAATAACACCCCACAAGGAAAGATCATCCACCTCTTCTACCTGGATGACCTGAAAACTTACGCGAAAAATGACGACGAGCAAACGGGCCTCCTGTCCTGCTGGCTTGGAGAAAGACAAGACCCACAGATGGCCAAAAGCAGCTGGCTTCAAGGCAGAAACCGAGCGCTTCATCATCGCATCCCAATATTAAAGCCTCCCAGCACGCTGGTACTAACACAATTCAACGACCTCAAGAAGCCTGACATGGACCCAAAATGCAAACTGTGTGGCCTTTTCGACGATACCATTGACAATCTGGTCTCTGGCTGTACATCCACTGCCACAACAAGGCAGTTGCACACGTGCACTGGAAGTTTAGCAAAGAGTTTGGCATTAATGTGAAGGAACGATGGTATAAGCATGAATCCAAGACTGTCACCGTTCTGTGTGGACATGCCCATCCATACTGACGGGACTGTAGCAGCTAATAGGCCGGACATTGTGCTGAAGAACAAGAAGGACAAAACCTGACTTCTCATTGACATGGCTATACCCCTCGACACCAACACCTCTGTCAAAACCACGGAAAAGATTAGAAAATAAATACAAAGACTTGGAAATCGAGGTTTTAGCAAATGTGGGGGCTCAAAACAACAACAGTTCCGCTGGTTATGGGTGCCCTTGGCACCATCAAGAAGGATATTGAAAACTACACCAACAAAATCCCTGGCAACGTCATCATTCATGAACTCCAGAAAATAACTCTCCTTTCTCCAGCCCACCTTCTCAGGCGGGTCCTCTCCATCAAGTAGAAACCGTCTTTGCCTCCCAAAGTCCATGGTTTGAACTCGGACGTTGAGAGAGAAAATCACTCGCAATAACACTAGTATATTATATATAATAATACGATAACACTTATACGACAATGAAGAAGTTGACGATCACGATGACGATAACTATGACAATAACGATAATGAAAAGGAAAACGATGACGTTGACGGCAATGACGATGATGATGGTGATGATGACGATAATAATGATAAAGTTTCTTTTATTCACGCCGGCAATATTAATAGCACAAAAGCTCGTGGGACCGAGAAGAACCCCAAATGGGCGGAGACAAACTAGTTGGCTATTCACAATCATAATCGAGGATTTGTATTCGGAGCTACAGTGAAAAAATTCCAGCTAGCAGTCAAGCTTAGAGGTACTTTGATCAGCACGGCTATAGCATGTTTCGAGGCGCTTTTTCTGTTCCGAGTATAGGACCCCCTCGTATATAAGCCCTTCCGTTTACAAGCCGACACCCATTACAAAGCTATATAAGCCCAGGGTTTATAAGCGCAGTGCTCAGGAAAGGTCTTTATAGCACATAACCTTTTCATTTCATTTAAGTGAATACAGAAAATAGAAAAAGAACAGCCCTGATAGCTACCTTATCTCATTTTACGAGCATACATGTCAATCGACCGAGATTCCGAGGAAAACATACCTTCATCAAAGTTTTTATGGAGAACTCGTGCAAACGTAGTTTAGAATGAAATAACAAAAAGAATTTAGATTACAAAAGGACATATTTTGAGTTGACGTTATAAATAACTGTAAGATGAACATTAATGCTTGTCAAAATTTAAAAGGCAGAGAGAAACAGCTAAACACGCCGCTACGAGAATTTTTAATGTTACTCATGATGACGTGCTCTGTTTTGAAAATTCTGACGTTCTCTTATGATTGGATATTGATTTAACTGAGTTAGTTTCTTTGTCCTTAAAAAACAAAAGCAACAACAAATTTTATTGAAACTCGCCTATAATCAATTAAATATTTTTTTCCCACCCGAAAATAGACTAGGAACTAATCGAGGGGGAGGGAGGTAAAGACATGGTTACATCACAAGGTTCTTGTAGATAGACAAGTTTTTTTTCTGGTTGTATTAGTAGCAATGAATATTTTTGAACTGCTCGCTCGGGGTACCGGCAAAAGGCTGCTTAACAGAGGTTGGCTACTCAAAAGAGGTTCGTCATAAATTAGTACATTTCTTAGCGGTATTACGAAACATCACTTTATCTTGAAACAAACACGCGACGGGAGTGGGATTAAGATTGGTCCATAATCAGTCGTTCTATCACAGTCGGACTGTATTTTACGTCATCACATTTTTAAAATAAGGCCAAAGCATAAAGAGCATCACCGCTTAATAGAGGTGATAACAATATTTAAAGGAGGGCCGCTTAATAGAAGTTTAATTTCCAATTCTTTTCTAAAATTATTTAGGAGCTTTGATAACTGGCCGCTAAATAGACGGTGACCGCTTAATGGAGGCTCAACAGTATTCGAATTTTCCGTGTAAGTAGCGGTGCGAACATGGAAACACGAAACTTTCTGTTGTGTATACATTCAGTTTTAAAGTCGAAGATTTGCGTAAATTCCAAACAACTGGTTTACGAATTTATGTACTAAATTTTGGTTGCTAAATCATTCCAAGAAGATTCCTGCTAGTGGCAACAGTCCTATCTAATGAAAGACAATCTACAGTAGAAGCTCCAAGAGAATTTAATAGATTCCGCCGGCAATTATTGTGTTTAAGTTCAATTAGCGAGATTAATACACGAAGTAATTTGTTATTAATCAAGGTCGATGTAACTTGATTATTTTTTGCATTACATTCCATGTTTGTCGGTTGTGGGTTGTGGGAACTTACAGCGATACTAACGAAGGTCATCACCTTTGTCGTCGAGGGTAAATAAGCTTCAATTTGATATACATAGCTTAACTTGCCAAGTTTTGGCCTCGATGCATAATTCGAAAACTCTAGATTGAGCCATCAGCTTTTCTTTCTGGTGTTTAATAGTTTCTACGTAAAACTCTTTGAATATCATTCCCAATTCCCAATTTACTTAATTTACTGTTACTTAACTTTGTGCACGCGGAAAAATGGCTTACCGCGGAGACGTAAATTCATCCAATATTGACAATTTGAAATTCACACCAACCAATAAAACAATGGAAAAAGCAGCTCTTTTTTGAATTCAAAATTAATCACTGGGAATTACTATAGTCAATAGCATTTAAGCTGATAGTTGAACATGAATATCTGCGTGCGCTTTCCACTGTGAAAGTCAATTTAATTTGTTCCGAAAATCATATGAGTAGAACGGAACTTTTCCTTTTGCTCAGGCTGTCAACCTTATTAGATATCTAGATCTTATGTCACTGAAACACTTGGTTCCTTCACTTTTTCAGTCGCACTTTTTATTCCTCTTATTTATTTAATTTAATTTAGGCTGACTATTTTCCTGTCGTCGGGGGTCAGCATTTCTTGCGCATTAGCGGGTGATGAAAACGAAAAAACATTAGCTCAGATCGGAAATTGTCAATGAGAGTGAATCATGTTAAAAGAAAAATCAATCGTGTTTTGATCGCAATTAGAAATGCCATTAAAGGTTCAAAAGATATGATGGCTTAAAGAAGTTAATGATCCAGCTAGTTGTTAATTTCCATTAGGCTAGCTATTATAAAGAGAACGAATCTGTTATAATCCAAGCCGAGACACCGGTACTAGTCGCATCTCTTAATGACCGTCTCTTCGCAGACAGCCCAAATAGAGAGAAATTCGGCTTAGACTAACATTTGCAGTTGGACAATCCAGCAAAACTCAAAACATTTCTTAGTGGACTGTTGGTGACCTCCAAGGGAAGCTAATTTTTTCAGGTATTTATTTCTTTAATCTACGAGCAAAATAGGGAAATATCGAAGTGTCTGAAAACTCGACCCGAGCTTGACCCGATTTAAACCAGGAAGTCGAAGACAAGCTTACATAAAAAGACAGGACGGCATCGCGCATTGTTAGCCTGCTTTTCGTATTCATAAATTAAAGCCTTTATAGATATCGCCAAGTGAATGAATTAGAAATTATTTTACCACACTTTACAACAACCAAGGAGAATTCGTGCCCACGCTGTTTCCAAGACGAAATAAACCTTGAATGATACTGCCCTATACACTGTATTGCCAATTAGTGGTGTTTTTTTGCTAAAGCCAGAAGCATTTTCAAAAAGTATGGAAAACACAGATGCCCTAGAGATTATTTTGCTGTCAAAATCCACAGAAGCACTGAAAAACCTTTTTCCTTAAAGCGCTTTTTCGAAGAAGAGAACCAGACGATATTACCTAGAAATTTCTGTAGAAAGACTAATTAAATAATTCATATATTTTCATATTAGAAAGCTGGGCATACCTAAGTCGAAAATATCCCTGAAATGTTCGGATTCGAAAATAGTTTCGGGAGAAGAGGCAGAAAAGCCTTATGTTTCCGTACCTCTAAATATCGAAAATGTTTATAGGGCGTTCCCGGTACAACGTGATCGACCATCTGCAAAGGTCCGATTACATAAGACCTCGGCGCCAAATACCACCTGAGCGTCACCCACCCACCCCCGCTTTGATCTCTTTGATAAAAAGAAAAGCAATTTAAGGAAGCCATGTTAATGGTTTACGGAATCAGAGTGAAGAAAATATTAATAGCTTTCAGGAAAAGACTAATCACCTTTTTTGCCTACCATTAATGAGCCCTTTGCGTAAGAAAGCAGTGCTACTTTTCAAGACAATGCCGAATTGAACTCTTTCAAGTTTTAAACTCAAGAAACAGAACTATTAAATAAGCTAAAATGAGTTTCAGTGCGACTCACGGAGACGGATGAAATTCAGGGTACATAACCCTGCTTTTAAAGTTCACTTAACCAAGACCAAAATGATTTAGGAACCATTAAATTTTGATCGACTTTTTGATTTACTCCCAGTTGTAATGACAGAGATACTTTTAATCGTTACAGACTCTTGAGTTATGGGCTGTCTCCAGTCAAAAATGCATGCAAGACTCACGTTCTGTTTTCATAATCCGAATCAGTTTGATTAAAAAATGAACCGATTTCCCTTCAAAATATTTTTTGGCTACTGATGACCACCCGAAGTTGTTTATGCAGTTAAGATGAGAAGAAAGGTCGATCAGTTTCAAATATGATTAATCACGGCTGATTTTCTTTGATGCCCTGATTTCAATTCCATTAGCCGAAAACGAGACTAAAACTTTAGTTTTGAATTTTAAAGGTTTTAGGTCTTATTGAAGAATTGTTTTAAATGGAATAAAATTCGATCAGTGGTAATGACAATGGTAATGTCTGGGATTAGAGGACAACAGTGTGTGACGTCTATTTTATTAAAAGCAAGCTCAGCCGTCAGTATACAAAGGCTCTCTCGGGCTGCCGCTATGGGTTTATAAGTTCATAATTTTTCATTGTAAGGGTGATATAAAATTCATGCGAGACTGGCTTTATAATAGCTGATTTTGTTCTCCATTAGCAGAGATTTATTAAAAAGCGACTAAAAGCTTTTACCCTTCGTCAGCGAATGCTTCGAAATATCTGTTAGAATCCGGCTGGCCATAGAGTCGTTCAAAGACGATATTATTTCTAGTCACATCGCAAAACAGCGCTGTCTCCTCGCGGGCAGGCAGGTGTGAGAGACTGAAAAGCCCAGATCAAAGCCAAAAGCACTGGTTCTTTAGCTGATTTAAAAGACTTAACATCGTCTGTCACTTCATTGGGCCATCATTTGCCGCGAGACAGTGCTGAGCATTACGGGTTTGTGTTTTAACGTACAATTCAATTAAGCCGAAGTGACCACTACACGTCAAGGACTTGCACAATCACTAAATGATCGAATGTCTGCTTCGATGATTTGTCTGATCTCTAGCTTTGCTTCTAGGTTTAGAGATTTGGGGTTAGAAGACAAGGAACATACTAGATTTTTGTATTTTAGGTTCAACCATTTAGTTTTTGAAAACCTTGACGGGCAGTCACCATAGCCATACAAATTTGTATATGGCCTTTAACCTAACGTGTTCTGTGTTTACATAAAAAAACCGTATAGTCAATTGTCACTAGGTTACTAGTAAAGCAAATTGGAGCCAATAAGCCCGATTTGGAAAAAATCGAGAGCCAACAAACACACACAAAATGAAAGCACTGCTCCAAAAAGAACTTTCTTCATTTGAATGATTACCGGACTAAAGCTTGTGTACTTCTTCTTTTTAGTCGGGCGTGTCAAGTGCCTCGTTCTCCACTAAGATATAATTTCTGCAGATTTCCTTTTAAATCTCGTCGAATATTCATTAGGTCCAAAACTGTCTCCGAACATTCGTTTGGAGTCTTTGCACTATTATTCTTTGAGAGTTTCTCGTTGAGATTTCAAAATGTTTAGTCAAGAAAAAGGGGTTTGATATTATAAACTTAGAGAGATTGCAATTTTCGTTGAGTAGCTTCTTTGGCGTTTACGTGTGGAGAAACTCATGTAGCTTCTTAAACAGCCTCACAAAAAATTGAAATAACCGACATGAAATGACATGACATGAAAGTTTCTTAAAACTGATTTTGGTCCCTAGATAGGGTTAATTAACAATTCTGGACTTTAAAAATGTATCTCCCAAGAAATTTCTTGAAATTTGACTGTCTATTTAATATTTCTCTTAGATCTTAAGGTATTCATCTAACTTGTGATTAAACTTTGGGCAAAGATGAACATCTCCAACTTCAACCAATCTGTCGAAACGTCGTCCTCTCCACAAACCACAAGTCAGCCACCACAAGGTCTTACAACCTTCACACAAGTAACTTACTCAGTTCTGGCTTCCATAGCCCTTGTTGGCAATACATTGGTGATTTTGGTCTTCATTCAAGACAGGAAACTTCTAAGGAAATCCTACAACATTTTGATCCTTTCTCTGGCCGTAGCTGATGTGCTGACCGCCATAAGCTTGATCACAAACCCAGCTTTTGTTCTTGGTGACGCGTTCCCCTATCCGACTAATCCAATTTTGGGTGACATTTTCTGCCGAGTGATCTGGAGCCGAACATTTCTCTTCCAGCTTGTAGTATTCTCAGGTTACATCTGCTTGGCTTTGGTGACGGAACGATGGTATGCGGTGATGAGACCACTCAAATATAGCGAAACTTTCAACAAGAAGCGAACTCTCATTTACATATTCACGGTTTGGCTATGGTCACTGGTTCTCTGTTGTTCCACCTTTTTCGAAGTACAATACGTTTCGTCTTCACCATCTATGCCGTGCAAATGGGTGATGGTCTGGAAGCAACAACGTGCGTTGGTTGGAAGCATTCAAGTCTTCTTCAAAATGGTGCTTCCCAGCTTTACAATGCTTGTTTTGTTCATTCACATGACGTACAAGGCTGGCCAATCCACAGTTGTCTCAGCACAAAGCAGGACAAAACTGCGCGGGAAAATGACACGAATGATCGGTGCCGCTTGTTTGTTGCAGATTATCTGTTTTGCGCCAAATCAGACCAACTATGCGTTAGCATTGGCGGGAATAACGCGTCTTGATTCCAGATTGCACCACACTCTCTCTCTTCTGGTTTTCGTCAACAGCTGCCTGAATCCATTTATTTATGGGTTGAGTAACAAGAATTACCGTCATGGCTACCAAAAGATCTTCGTGTTTCTTTTCTGTTGCGGGAAATTTTGCAGAGGCAGTAATGAAATAGCGCCGAGTTCGTATGAAAATGGATCTACTGCTCACAAAGACGCGCAAGAAAATTTTGAAATCACCAACGTTGTCTTTTCTGAGAGAGACTATGATCAACCTAAACCTGCCTAGATGTAGAAAAAACAAGTTTATGTACAGTGTGGCTCAGCCCAGGGTAGGGGTACCTGTAAGTAGGTAGTGTTGGTGTGACGGTACTCAAGTAGTTCAAAACACGAGGGGACTGCTCAAGCAAAAGTGGTTTAATTTTTGGCTAATAGACCTTTTTACCGATACGGCGACCATATTGAATTAATTCCATTTAAGGTGGCTCTATATAGTTTTTCAAGGTCAATACCTCCCAAGTTTGAGCGTAAGCTACGTCGCCATAAGCAAAGATTTGGAAAAAACTGACACCACAGTTGTATTAGATAAAGATGAAAATTTGTTATGATCAGGGTTGCAATGACATCGGAGTTGTCATAGCAACGAAATGACGCCATTACCTATTTTACTTGCAACAGTATTTCTCGGCACTGGGAACTGTTCTTCCAAAATCGTTTACTGGAGCTTTTTCCAACAATAGCCGCCTCGATGTTCGTGAAGTTTAAGCGAAATCTGTAAGAGCGTTATCGAGATATTTTGGGAAGAAGTTTTTATGGTTAGAAATACGGTAAAAAATGGACAACCTTGATGTTGGACTGTTATCTGTACTAAACGAAGCGCTTTTGACATGCAATTTCACCTCATAGTAGTTTCAATCTTTTTAAAAACGTGTGTGAAAGATCATGGAGATACCTCCAGCCGATTGCTAGAAAGAAGGATTTGATTAATATGTATCAAGGCGCTCTTTTTAGCAGTAATGTAAACATTTCGGTCTACTTTAACAAATTAGCGAATAATTTTTAAACCGCTCGATAAATTTTTTAGAAAATTTAAGAATCTTGAAACTAACCGTCCTTTTATATGACCTCTTAGTTTCAAGATTACTGATATACTGTAAGGCAGTAAAATAAGGGCTTGAATTCGATAATATTTTGTCAAGAGTTTTGTGTTTACAAGTGATAGCCTCTCATTATTCAGGGGTATTGTCTCCAAAATTCATATTTTCGTGCACAACAATAGCTAGCATTTTTGCATATGTCAAATGCATTGTTAGTTACTGCTGTTCACGTGAAAATGAAACCTTGAGACAATACCCCTGAATAATCAGAGACTCTCAATTGTAAAGACAAAATTTCCGACAAAATATTAGCGAATTGTAGCCCTTATTTTACTGCCTTACAATATATCAATAATCTTGAAACTAAGAGGTCATATAAAAGGACAGTTTATCTCAAGAGTCTTAAATTTTCTAAAAATGTATTTGTTGCAAGTAAAATAGGTAATGGCGTCATTTTGTTGCCACGACAACTCCGATGTCATTGCAACCCTGATCATAACAAAGTTTCATCTTTATCTAATACAACTGTGGTGTTAATTTTTCCAAATCTTTGTTTATGGCGACGTAGTTTACGCTCAAACGTGAGAGGTATTCACTCAAAAAAACTGTATCGAGCCACCTTAAGGAGTACTATAGGATGCCCAGGGTGCATGAGCACATTTCGTTTGTATTTTCGAGCGCTTTTTGGGACATTTTTTCTTAAACTTTTCTTAGAATAAGATTGTAATGGGAAAAAAGATCCTTGTGCCGTGTTTGGATGTAATAATGATCGCCTTTTTCCCGAGAAATTATACAGTGAAAGACCATATTTCTAATACTAAACTAAAAAAAAGGCGATCATTATTACATCCAAACAAGGCACAAGGATCTTTTTCCCATTACAATCTTATTCTAAGAAAACTTTAAGAAAAAATGACCCGAAAAGCGCCCGAAAATACAAACGAAATGTGTTCATGCCCCCTGGGCATCCTATAATACTCCTTAAATCGAATTACTTCAATATGGCCGCCGTATCGATAAAAAGGTCTATTAGATTCCCTTCGATTGTCCTTGTTCAGGATCTGTATATATTAATACATTCTACATCATTCCGCTGTAGGATTTATCTAAATCATTGCGCGATAAGATTTATAAAAATTATGGCATCAAAGGTCAACTTTGTTGATATCAGAATATATAATATTTATCGTAGAAGAAAATCTAGAAGATGATTTGACAGAGGAAGATTATTGTAATATGTGCGTAGGTAAGCTGTTCACATTTTTCAGAGAAATTTAGGAGTTTCTTTCTCCTTTCCGTGGGTAAGAAGATATACCAAAGAGTTTTTCCCTGCCCTATAATGGGGCAGGTTGCTGTCGATATCCAGATTGTATGCAATTATATCACATAAGGATATGACGCACACAACTCTTAAAATAAACTATGACATCATTGATCTAAAAATAACGGGAAAACCTGTCAATAAAACCAGCTAAAAATAGCTTGTGAATCATATCTTCTAATAAGATTTCCTGGCATTTTCTTCATGAGATAACAGAGAAAAGGCTATGACTACATTGGCGTTAATGTATTCCCCACAAGATAATGAGATTCTCTCGCAAAAGGCGGAGTAAAACATCTCTGATATACAAATTGTTTTATCATTGATACAAGGAGACAAAAGGACAAACACGTTACTTATATTAATAACGTTATCTCAGAGAGTCGTTTGAACCCAGAGATCGTTTTGTATTATCAGTGTATGGAATGTGATAGTCCGGATGAGCATAGTCCCGAAAGTGACTGACGTTTCGACAACTCAGTTGTGCGGTAGTCCTCTTAAGAGTCAAATTGAAGGACCAGATTAGACTCATTTTGACTTTGAAGTGGATGACCCGCACAGGTTATCAAAAAGTCGGTCACACTTAACAAAAGCCCTGCATTCCTTCAGTACTGCACTCACTCGGAGGATCATATTCCACTTACTTATGATGAAGCTATTTCCTTTTTGTGAAGTTACAAATGACAAAAACTGATTCTAAAAGAAGTACTCCTGTAACCAACTGTACTTGTGAATGGAAGATACGAATAAACATCGGAAGAGGGGGGAAAGACTCCTTCATGGCGGAGACAGGGATGCTTGTCTTAACATATACTGGTCTTGTTTAAGGTTCTCAGGACGGAAAACTGATATTTTCAAGTGCACAGATATCCGGCTTTAAGTTTATACAATTATGTGAGTGCTACGGGCGCTGTGATTGGTCGTTGCCCATGATCTATTAGAGTACAAATAAATGGATGTCGTCAGGGGAAACTTGTTTTCTTTGTTTTGTTCAACATGGCGCGCGGTTTTGAAAATGTTTGTGAAATTATTTCGGATCGAAGCAAGTGAAAGCCTCGAAAAAAGCTTAGCAGGAGCTATTTACAAAGGAAAAAATTGAGAACCAGAGACAAAAAGAGCTCTTGACTACTTGAGAAGGCCTAAACTAGTCATCGCTACTAGAGAATCGCTGTTTTGCAAAATGTTTGCACCATAATTCTGCTATGAGCAAGAAAAGACGTTGAAAAACGTTTCGAAGAAACTGTATACAAATACGATAAAGAAAAGAGAAGAAGCAGAGACCAAGAATAGCGTTTGGAACTTAAAAAGTGTCTTAACTACTAGCACATGCAATCCTCGACAGTCGAGGGGTACCAGGCAAGTATGTGTATCGGTCTATTTTCTTTTCTGATCATTGTATGAAACAAATAGATTCCAAGTTACCATGGGTCTGTTCAGTTATATTTCACAGAGGACCTCAAAATGTGGTAAAAACATCGGTGACACAGTCGCCTGCTGCTCGTGTGCCACTTCTTTGTTATTACAACATTTTGACGTCATCTGTGATCTATTACTGAACAGACCCACGGTAACATGGAATCTATTTGTTAAGTATATTACACGCCGGATTTGTGTTGTGTCGTTTTTATTCTTACATGTGTAAAATGTGTATCCGAAATTAAAACTCGTCAAAAATCTTATTTTTTTGTTTCGCTTCAAAACGCACAAATTTGCATTTAAAATGTCCGCCAACTAGCATCCCCGTCTCTTTTACAGTGGTCAGTCATCCTGAGGGATGATGATAAAGGAAAAATGTTTGTTAAATGGAAAGTAAGAGATAATTGATTCACTTCATTGCCTTCATGTTGAAATTTATTGCGTGATTTCCAAGTCTTTACATGTAACACTCCCTAAAGTCTCCATAACAAGGGTCCATTTATAAACACTATGAACTAAAATCAACTAACTTTTAATCTAAAAAATAGAAACAAGTGAAATGAAACAACGTTTAAATTATTTTCTGGTAGTACATGTACTATATGAAAATTTCTTCTTTAATTGATCATTTCATACTGCCTAGTTTCTCCAAGCTCTAGATCACTATTCATCCTCTCTTTATCTACTTGCATGTACACAGCGGTGATATATACAGGGTCTTATAGTATAGTCAATATTGATGATAGCAAGTGTTTTGGAGGGTTTTCCATTTACATGGACAAATCAGCTTCCTTTTTTCAGTTCACAGGGTTTTGCAGGGTCAAATGAGTTCCCCTTTCTATTTAAATGGTTTCTAAGGCCTTACACATGTACAACGCTCTATTTTGATTTTTAGGTTTTTCACTGGGTCAAATTCAGTTTACTTTTCATTTTCACTTTATAGGGTATTTACTGGGTCAAATTAGTGTCCCTTTTTCTCTGATTTAAGGAGTGTCTACAGGCCAAGCCATTCCCCCTTTTCAATTTAAAAGATTTTTTACAGGGTCAATTATCTTATTCCTTATTTTAGATTTACCGGGTTTTTACAAAGTCTAGGTAGTCTCTCCTCTGTAATGTACGTGTGGTATTTACACTGTTCGGACAATATTTACATGATATTTACATGACCTTGGCCCACAAGGTTTAAACTTTTACAGGATCTTCTCTTGCACTTACGAAGTTTGGAGAGCAATCATAGGCTGTCTCGACTGTCCCTNTTAGGTTTTTCACTGGGTCAAATTCAGTTTACTTTTCATTTTCACTTTATAGGGTATTTACTGGGTCAAATTAGTGTCCCTTTTTCTCTGATTTAAGGAGTGTCTACAGGCCAAGCCATTCCCCCTTTTCAATTTAAAAGATTTTTTACAGGGTCAATTATCTTATTCCTTATTTTAGATTTACCGGGTTTTTACAAAG